GAGAGAAAGAAAAAGAGAAAGAAAAATGAAATAAAGAGGGAGAAAGAAGAGAGATAGAGAAAGAAAGAAAGTGTCATGGTGTGAGGTCAGGTTCAGAGACCAGTTGCTATAGCAGTGTAAGGCTTACCTGAAACCAGCAGGATAGGTACACCAGCAGGTCACCCTGGGAAATGACGCAGGCTCACCTGAGTGCAGGGTCTAAGCACTAACTGGTTTTCACCAGAGCTCCTAATGGTCGAGATGGATTTAGCTGCGTGTTAGTACCAGGTCACAGTTCTTAGGATCACCCCACCAGGGAATGCGCAAGCAGTAGCAGATAGAGCAGGTAGGGATCTAGCAGAAGCGGAGTCAGTCACCAAGCAAAGGATCGGTAACAAGCGGTAGAAGATGGGGATAAGGCAGAATCGTAGTCCAGGAACAAGCCAAAGGTCGGTAGCAAAGGTATAGATGGCAGCAGGAGAGACAAGCAAGATACTGGCTGGAGAAGGCACAATAATCTGGCAACCAGGAAGTGCAGAGACATGGCTTAAATCAGGAAGTTCATGGGAGGAGCAAGGAGTTCAAGGTTCATCAGAAAACAAGGCTCAAGGCAGGATTGTCCAATAGATCAGGCAAAGTGTTGTCCAGCATCCCAGGTAGCTCAGTGAGAAGAGTTACTGCCTGACACAGTAGAGGTTCCAGGTTCAAGTCCAGGCCCTGACAGTACTCCCCTCCTCCCAGGACATCCTCTGGATGTCTTAGGGCCAGTTTTGTGAAACAAACCTCTGGTGGAATTCTCTTGTTAATCTAGAGGTGTGAACATTCTCCTCAGGCTCCCAAGAATTTTCTTCTGGCCCATATCCTTCCCATTGAACCAGATATTGTAATTTGTTCCTAAAGATCCTGGAATCAAGAAATTTCTCCACCACAAATTCTTGTTCACCCTGTACCTCAACGGGTGGAGGAGGTGGAAAAATTCTTCCAGAGAAAGGATTTTCATGAAACGGTTTGAGTAGTGATATGTGAAAAACAGGGTGAATCCTCATACTGTCTGGAAGTTTTAAACGAAAGGTGACCAGGTTGATTTGGGCAGAAATCTGAAAAGGACCCACAAACTTTTGACCCAACTTAGCAGATGGAACATGAACCTTCAAATTTTTTGTTGATAACCAAACTTTGTCACCCACATGAAATGTAGGAAGTGATCTCCGATGTCTGTCAGCAGCCTTTTTGTAACATTCCTGAGCTTCCCTCAAAGTCTCAATCAATTTCTCCTGAATCTCCTGAAATGTAGTTAGTCTGTTGGTAACAGCAGGAATTGGAGTTGTGATAGGGAGATCAGGGATAAAAACTGGATGATAACCGGTGTTTAAGTAAAAGGGACTTTGAGAAGTGGAGCTATGTTTAGAATTGTATGCAAACTCTGCAGTGGGAAGACAGTCCACCCAGTTATCCTGAAGATAAGTGACAAAGCATCGAAGATAATGCTCCATTGTTTGGTTCTCTCAGTCTGACCATTAGACTGGGGATGAAAAGCAGAGGACACAGTAGAGGTCCCAGGTTCAAGTCCAGGCCCTGACACAAAGAGAGAAAATAGAATAAAAGAGAGAGAGAGAAAAAAAAAAGAGAGAGAGAGAAAGAAAGGAGAGAATGAAAGATAGAGAGAGATAAAGAGAAAATGATATAGAGAAAGAAATAGAGATAGAGAGAAGGAAAGATAGAATGAAAGAAAGAGAGAGCCCTGAGTTTCAGTCACAACAGCAGCCTATACATGGGCATTTGTCACGCCAGATAAACTGGATAAACGCTGAACATACAGCATGGAAAAAGGTCTGTGGGGTATGACCTGTAACAAGTACAAAAGTCTTGGCATTACAATCATCTTAAGTATGTTACAGCAGCCAAACCAAGAGAAAGCATGAGAGTCCCATTTTTTAAGGTCTGCAGTTAACGTTGCCAGAAAGGGCTAAAAATTCAAAGAAAAAATGTCAGATTCATGGGAATTTTCATCCACAAATATTGTATCGAACAAGTAGCCCATTTGAATGGGAAAAAGGGGCATAGGTATAGAGTAGAGATGGGATTACAGAGACGTTAAAAGCTTCTGATTGTTGTTAATGATCACCAATATATAATAAAAGGTCATATATGTTAGCCTCTATTTTGGTTGGTATTTGCCTGCCTAAACTCTACTATTTGGATTATTGTTTTTATGGTGAAGGAAAGGCTCCAGGGAGAGAACAAATAACATGGGTGAAAAGGGGCAGCCCTGCCTAGTGCCATTTGAGATTGTGAAAGTTGAGAGTGGTGAGAGTTGAATCCATTCACTCGAGCTGTTCAGTAGGTTTAGTGTATAAAGCCGAGATCCAGGCTAGGATTAATGTCAGCATCCCAATGAGTGGAACTGTCTCCAATCTACTTGGTCAAACACATTTTCAGAGTCAGTGGACAGGAGTAGGATACAGGATCTCTTTGCTTTCTCCATAACATGTAATGTCCGAATGGTATTGTCCATTGCCTCCCTCATCTGTATGAAACCAACCTGGTCTGTCGTAATGAGGCATTGCAGTAAGGCATTCAATTCTGGAGGCTAAGATTTTGGTAAAGCGTTTAATGTCACAATTTAGAAGAGATATACAGTGGGGATCGAAAGTTTGGGCACCCAAGCTAAAAATTTGTATTAATGTGCATAAAGAAGCCAAGGAAAGATGGAAAAATCTCCAAAAGGCATCAAATTACAGATTAGACATTCTTATAATATGTCAACAAAAGTTAGATTTTATTTCCATCATTTACATTTTCAAAATAACAGAAAACAAAAAAATGGCGTCTGCAAAAGTTTGGGCACCCTGCAGAATTTATAGCATGCACTGCCTCCTTTGCAAAGCCGAGACCTGTCAGTGTCATGGATTGTTCTCAATCATCATCTGGGAAGACCAGGTTATGTCCATCTCAAAGGTTTTAAATGCCCAGACTCATCTGACCTTGCCCCAACAATCACCACCATGGGTTCTTCTAAGCAGTTGTCTAGAAAACTGAAACTGAAAATAGTTGACGCTCACAAAGCTGGAGAAGGCTATAAGAAGATAGCAAAGTGTTTTCAGATGTCAATATCCTCTGTTCGGAATGTAATTAAGAAATGGCAGTCATCAGGAACAGTGGAAGTTAAAGCAAGATCTGGAAGACCAAGAAAAATATCAGACAGAACAGCTCGCAGGATTGTGAGAAAAACAATTCAAAACCCACGTTTGACTGCACGATCCCTCCAGAAAGATCTGGCAGACACTGGAGTTGTGGTACACTATTCCACTATAAAGAGATACTTGTACAAATATGGTCTTCATGGAAGAGTCATCAGAAGAAAACCTCTTCTATGTCCTCACCACAAAAATCATCATTTGAACTTTGCAAATGAACATATAGACAAGCCTGATGCATTTTGGAAACAAGTTCTGTGGACCAATGAGGTTAAAATTTAACTTTTTGGCCGGAATGAGCAAAGGTACGTTTGGAGAAGAAGGGGCACAGAATTTAATGAAAAGAACCTCTGTCCAACTGTTAAGCATGGGGTTGGATCAATCATGCTTTGGGGTTGTGTTGCAGCCAGTGGCACAGGGAACATCTCACGAGTAGAAGGAAAAATGGATTCAATAAAATTTCAGCAAATTTTGGATGGTAACTTGATGCCATCTGTGAAAAAGCTGAAGTTAAAGAGAGGATGGCTTCTAAAAATGGATAATGATCCTAAACACACCTCGAAATGCACGGGGGATTACATCAAGAGGCGTAAACTGAAGGTTTTGCCATGGCCTTCACAATCTCCTGACCTCAACATAATTGAAAATCTATGGATAGACCTTAAAAGAGCAGTGCGTGACAGACAGCCCAGAAATCTCAAAGAACTGGAAGACATTTGTAAGGAAGAATGGGCAAAGATACCTCAAACAAGAATTGAAAGACTCTTGGCTGGCTACAAAAAGCGTTTACAAGCTGTGATACTTGCCAAAGGGGGCAGTACAAGATATAAACTCTGCAGGGTGCCCAAACTTTTGCAGACACCATTTTTTTGTTTTCTGTTATTTTGAAAGTGTAAATGATGGAAATAAAATCTAACTTTTGTTGACATATTATAAGAATGTCTAATCTGTAATTTGATGCCTTTTGGAGATTTTTCCATCTTTCCTTGGCTTCTTTATGCACATTAATACAAATTTTTAGCTGGGGTGCCCAAACTTTCGATCCCCACTGTAGGTCAGACAACACAATAGATCTTTTCCCGATTTTGGGATTACAGAAATAGAGGCACACAACATATCTGTTGGCATACTGTACCCATCCAGGATAGCGTTGAAGGATATGATAAAGTGGGACGCTAAGTGGTCCTGGAAGCAAAAATCCATCAGGCCATCCCTGGCCTGATGGATTTTCACTTCCAGGATGGATGGATTTTTTGCTTCCAGCCTTCCCAGCTGGCCAATGCAAATTCTTCTACTGTAAGAGGCTGGAAGAACACCTCCTGGTATTCAGTTGTGAGGGCAGGTAGGTTAGCCTCACGCAGGTAATCTTGAATGGCCACAAAAGAGGGAGGTGTTTGCCAGGAGGACAAGGTCGAGTCTATATTGTAAAGCTTAGTTAGACATTATGAAAAGCTTCTGCCAAGTCTGGTGAAGCATGAACTGGAGTGAGCAGGGCTCACATTGAGTGTGTTTGTCAAACAAGCATTGTCTAATAAGAGGGCGTTACTGCTTAAACTCTGATTTCAAACTGTGGGTTTTCTGACAGATTATACCAAATTCTATTGTTACAAACTATGCTTGTTTTACTCCTACTAATGTTTGGTTGGCGCTAAACAATTGAAATAAGAATAAATCACATCTTAGATATAAAGGAGGAATTTATTTTAATATCTCTTTAACGTAAATAGTCATAATTTCCAAATAATGGATTACATGTATTAATTTACACAAGAACATGGTAACATCATTTTATTTTCTATAAGGTCTAAATTTAATAGATACACACTACTTCCCTATTAAAGCGTCTTCAGCTCTCTTGAATTTTTTAAAGTCTACTAGCAGTTCCCAATATTTCAAATATAGCCACATTAGTCTACCATTTTCATGCTTATTAATGTTCAACAATGCTGCACAATGAGTGTCATGTTTAAAAATGTCTACCAAGCCTTCTGACATTTCTAATTCCACTGCTGCTGGATTGGTTGCAGCTTTAACAAGCAAGTTTTTTTCTATTTCTAATCTTTTTTTCCTAGATGCTACTAAGCTACAGTAAATGCCCTGTCTCTCTTTGAGGGCTTCTTCAAATTCACTAAGTAAACATTTTGCATTTGTCTGCCATTCTTTTTCCTTATCAAGGTAGCTTGTGTACAAAGCTCCAACTGCTCCACTCTTTTGAGCTGCTTTGATTTCTTGCTTTAATTTGTCTTGCTCATGTTCCAGGAGCTTCCTTTCTTCGACTAATTTTTGACTTTGAGTTATGAGAGCTTTACGATAACTTAGTGTCCGGTTCTTTTCTTTTTCAAGCTCTATTTGCAAATGAGCCACTGTATGTCGGTTTTCAACAACAATGTCTTGATATTTCTTTTCCAGATCTTTTTGGATATCATTCACTTTCTGTTGATAATCTAGTTTAGCTGTTCTAATTTGTTTTTCAGATTCCTTTGACCAGATCCATCCTGTAGGGAGCAAGTATTTTAGAGACGTATTACTTTTAAAGGCAAATTTGTCTTTTGTTTTGCATAAATTTAACAGAGCATGAGAAGTATAAAGAACATGTACAAGTAAGTAAACAGAAAAACATCACAGATGTGACTATGAGCCATGTGGATGTATGAAAATGATGCAGTAAAACTGCAAGAGGGAAGGATCAATAACCCATATTATACCCATGCCATATCGGTAAAGATGGTATAAGCATGGCTTATATATCCCTAATGGTTTTCCAACCATTTGAATCTCGAAAATCCTGCAATTGTAACGTACCAACCTCTAAAAACTGATGAAGTTTGGGATCAGACAACCCTGGCGGAAAGCTGGGGTTTCCTATTTAAGGCATCAAAAGTGGTCATGTTTGTACTTTGTACCTAGGATAGGATGATCCTTTACCTGAGCAGAGCACAGGTGAAGGATCTCTCCATAGCAGAGCCTTGAGTGGAATAGGAGATATATGTTGCTCCAGGGATACCCAGCTCTTTACCTGACCATGATTATACAGTGGGGAATATAATTATTTGATCCCCTGCAGTTTTTTTAAGTTTGCCCACCTACAAAGAAATGAAGGGTCTATAATTTTTATCATAGGTGTATTTTACACTTGATACAAAAGTTATAGTTCAGTGAATAAAACTAGTATTTTAAGAACAAGCAATAATTTTGGCTCCCACAGACTTGCTATGACTTGCTATGTGCTCATGTAGTACACAGATTAGTCCTGTCAATTTAAGAAGGTGCTCCTAACGACAACTTGTTTTGTTTATAAAAGACACCTGTCCACAGAATCTCTTTCTTCCATTTACCAATCTACCAAACTTGCATAGTTCATTTCCACTGTATTCACATCCACCGCACCATGTGCTAAATTAAATATTTTCTTTATTTCTTGTTCATTTAATTTTGTTCCAAGCTCCTTTTCCCACTTTTCCATGAAATGGTGGAGAGACAGATTCAGGTAACTCAGTAAGAATCTTATATATATACGAGAAGTAACATGTTTTCGTACTGTATTCTTACTAAGAGTTTTTCAAATGGATACTTGTCCTTCTCCATCCTTAGTGGCTGCGGGAGCACTGTAACAAAATGTCTTAGTTGATAGTAACACCACTGATCCAACATAGAAAATACTCCCGTCTTATTTTGTAAATCTAAAAAAGAAAAGAATTCCCCAATATTATATCTTTTAAAGGTGCATTTCTATCTTTTATGAGAGAGAGAGAGAGAGAGAGAGAGAGGGGAGGGGGGAAGAGAAAGAGAGGAAGGAAGGAGATGGAGGAGAGGGAAGGAGAGAGAGAAAGAAAGATGGAAGGAGGAAGATAGAAAGAAAAAGAGATGGAAGGAGAGAGAGAGAGAGAGAGAAGGAAAGGAAGAGGGAAGGATAGAGAGGGAGAAGGAGGGGGGGGGGGTGGGGTAAATAGAAAGAGAGAGGGAAGGAGAGAGAGAGAGAAGGGAGGAAAGCGAGGAGGAAAGAAAGAAAGGGAAGGAGAGACGGAAGGAAAGAAATGGAAGGAAAGAGAGAGGGAAAGATAGAAAGAGGGAAGGAGAGAGAGAAGGAAAGAAAGAAAGAAAGAGGGAAGGAGAGAGAGAGGTGGAAAGAAAGAGAAGGGGAGAAAGAGAAGAGGAGAAAGAGGCAAATAGAAAGAAAGAGGGAAGGGGAGAGAGAAGGGAAGGAGAGCGAGAAGGCAAGAAAGAAAGGGAAAGAAAGACAGAAGGAAAGAAAGGGAGGGACAGAAAGAAAGAGGGAAGGGGAGAGAGAAGGAAAGAAAGAATGAAGGAAGGGGAGAGAAAGAAAAAAGAAAGGGAAGGAGAGAGAGAGAAGGGAAGGAGAGCGAGAAGGCAAGAAAGAAAGGGAAAGAAAGACAAGGAAAGAAAGGGAAAGACAGAAGGAAAGAGAGAGAGAGAGAGAGAGAGAGAGAGAGAAGGAGAAAAGGAAATGAAGAGAAAGAAAGAGAAATGAAAAAAAAAAAAACAAAGAGAAAAAGGGAAGAGAAAGAAACATAGAAAGAGAGAAAGAAAAAGAAAGAGAAGAGAGTAAAAAAATAGTAAAAAATAAGAGAAAAAAAAGAAAGAGAAAGAAAGAAAAAAGAGGAAAAGAGAAAGAAAGGAAAGAGAGAGAAGAGAAAAAACTCTAGAAGAAAGAAGGAAAGAAAAAGAAAGTGAAGAGAGAGAAAGGAAAGATAAAAAGAGAGAGAGAAGAGAGAGAGAAAGAAAGAAAAAAGAGAAAGGAGAGAAAAAGGAGAAAGAGAGGAGAAGAGAAAAGAGAAAGAAAAGACGGAAAAGAACGAAGGAGGGAAAGATAGAAGAAA